TCCTTCCTTCCTTCCTTCCACGCGCAAACAAAGATGCCAACTTAGAGGGGTAAAGTGACTTTTCTTAAGGGTACAACTAATTTGTATTAGAGTTGTCAGAATAATCATATTCTTTAGACACTGTTGCCACCACACTACGGCAACTCAGTGTGTGTGTGTGTGTGTGTGTGTGTGTGTGTGTGTGTGTGTGAGAGAGAGAGAGGAGAAGAAGGAGGAGGAGAGAAAAAGTATACACTCAAACAAATTTCCCTTTTCCTACAATATTTATCTTTTTTGTCTCCATCACAAAAGAAAAATTACTATTTTGGAACACAGATAATGAGAATGGGTAACTACTCTCTGATACAGACAAGTGCATAAGTGACTAAATATTTCATAAAAGACTTGAACATTATTTCAAGTTGGTATTTACAAACAATGAGAAATACTTCTCTCTCTCTCTCTCTCTCTCTTTTAATGGATGATCTTAATTTCCTAGCATGCTTGGCTTGTTACCAAAGGCACAGTAGATGTTCACTCTTTGCTGAAATAAATCTTGTTTTTTAATGTGGGACAATAGGAACATTTTGAAGACAAAGAAAAACAGTCGATTAGTCATCTTCCAAGGGGACATATTTGCATTCATTCACCTTAGGGCATTGCTCTGCTGCCACCAGGGAACAATTATTATTATTATTTTCTACCAAGTATTAAAGTGATAGGCAGCAACTAATATGTCATTAATGGCATAAAATGATTCACAGTAATTTTTTTAAATGAGTAAAATCACTATCTCAGAATTACTTTGTAACCAAAACAGCATCACTGAGCGCTCTTTCCCATTCCAAAGAAATGACAGGGTCCTTCCCCCTCTAAGATTCTGTGATTCTGAAAAAGATTGGAAGTGTGTGGTGTGTGTGTGTGTGTGTGTGTGTGTGTGTGTGTGTGTGTGTGTGTCCACATGTTATATGATTCAGGTGAGGAAAGAGGAGTCCTGGGTAAGTAAGTAGACCGTCCTATATGTATCTCAGATTTGGAGTGACAGAAGGCTCATTTGTTTCACCTAACCTGAAAAAAAAAAAAAGTTGCATCATTGAAACCAGGAAGTAAAAAAAAAAAACCTTTCAAAGTATTTGTCCCTAAGTTAATCTGAAGGTCCAGGAAATGGAGTTTTATAATGGGAACATTCTCTCCTTCCTTTTTCTTTCTTCTCCCTCCTCGTATCCCAAACATTTTTCTTCTTTCTTCCTCTTTCTACCACATTCTCCTTATATTCTTTTTTCATTGTTTATTTGGTGGGAAAGGGAAGGATTATTAAGGCTTTTCCTCCCATATAGTCCTCAGAATTAGAAGATGTATTAACTATTACTATCCACCTTTTATCTTTATACATTTAAGTTTGTCATGCGATAAGTATGTATGTATGCATATAAATATTGTTGTTTAGTAAATTTCAATCACGTCCAACTTTTCATGACCCCATTTGAGTTTTGAGTTTTTGAGTTTTGTTTGTTTGTTGTTGTGTTTTTTTGGTAAAGATACTGGAGTAGTTTGCCATTTCCTTCTCCACCTCATTTTACAGATAAGGAAACTGAGGCAAACAGGGTTAAATGGCTTGCCCAAGGTTGCACAGCTAGTAAGTATCTGAGGTTTAAACTCAGGTTTTCCTGACTCCAGGTCCAGCGTTCTATCCACTGTTCCACCTAGCTGCCTGGTATATAAATATATGCATATATAAATCCATGCTCGCACATATTTGTAAAATATAGATATATAGATATATCTATACATATATGTGTGCATGTTTGTGTATGAGTGTCTCAACCATACTCCTTGCTCTTGCAGAACTTAAAATTTTGCTTGGAAGGCTTGAAAAATGCACATATTAAAATACATAGCAGTATCATAAGTACAGGATAGGGGAAAGCAACAAATGTTAGAGGGGATGTGGAAAAATTGGAACACTAATTCATTGTTGGTGGATTTGTGAACTGACCCAACCATTTTGGAGAGCAATCTGGAATTATGCCCAAAGAGTTCTTAAACTGCCTATACCCTGTGTCCCAGCAGTGCCACTGCTAGGTCTATTTCCAAAGGGAAGAAAAGGGAAAGAACCTCTATGTTCTAAAATGTTTATAGCAGCTTTCTTTGTTGTGGCCCATTAATAAGGGAATGGCTGAACAAGTTGTGGTATATGATTGTGATAGAATACTATTGTGCTGAAAGAAATGATGAACTCAATGATCTTAGAAAAACATGGAAAGACTTGCATGAAATAATGAAGAAGAAAATGAGCAAAACCGAGAGAACATTGTATATAGTAACAGCAATATTGTTTTAAGAATGACTTTGAGCAAATAAGTCATTTTGGCTATTATAAATACCCAAATTCACTATGAAGGAAGACACTATCTGCATCCAAAGAAAGAATTGATAAATAGAAATTTGTATAGAATGATTTTACATATATGTGTGTGTATGTATGTGCGTGTGTGTGTGTCTAATGGTAGCTAGCGGCAGGAGGGGAAAAAAGGAAAAAATTAATTTATATAACTTTATTATATATTTAAATGGAGCAAGTTGTACGTAATAAATTTGCAGTTTTATGAGCAATCATTTTTTAATTGTACTATGTTATAGAAATGCTTGTTTTATCCTATAAATTACAAATAAAACAAATTTTAAAAATTTTAAGTACATGGTATATATAGGCCATTTAGGTTGAATAATAGTTCAGTTGAGTGATTAAATAGCTGATTGAAATACTGTGTCCAAAAAATATATTTTATTGTGCACAGGCAGCAAATAGTTCAAGCCTATTGTGGTAGCATTTGAAAATTTGTTATTCTTTTACCTAGCCTCAAGTCTCTTTTGCCTAATTCCTCTTTAGGCTAAGGATCTCTGTGAATCAGGGAAGTAGTCAAATAATAATGTAGAAGGTATAAAAAGATTGGTAATCTATTCATATATATATAACTCAGAGTAGAGAACCAGTAACGGTTTTCAAATTCCCAGTAGTCTGGAGCAGGCCGAAGGAGAAAAGAGGATGGAATTAGACCCAGATAAATATTTGACAGCACCCAATTCAACAAACACTTTCCTAAGCACCTAATAGGTGGAAGGCTTTGTATAGCCAAGTTACTTCTCTGCTCATCCTTTCCATATCCTTGAATCAATGGGGTATGACTGAGGTTTGGTTATGGACAGGAAAGGTATAGTTGAATACCAGAAATACTACAGCATCTTTAGCCAGAAATAACTAAGAATAGAGAAGAAATAATCCTTTCAAATCAGTCCAACACAGATGCATTTTTAATAAATTTGTATGCCCTCTCTTCTTTCACTTTAGTTCAAATATCTAATATTCCACCCTATTTTATGCCTGACAGAAAACCGAGAATACCTGCAGTTGTACTTTTGGAGAATTTTTGGGAAAAGGCACTGAACGTGGGGTAGGGGAGGTGGTTCAGAAAGATCACTCAAAGGATCATAAGATTTGGAGCTGGAAGGGACCTTAGGGATTATCTGTTCAAATCCTGTCATTTTATAAAGGAGGAAGTTTGAGACCCAGAAAGGTTAAGGAAAAAGTGCCCAAAGTTACCCAACTAGTGAGTAGTAACGCTGATACTTAAACTTAGAACAAATGAAATTTAAGGTTTTGATTTTTTAAGGTGCAAAGAGACAAATACTTTATATTGACTTATCTGTATATCCTGGTAGAATGTAAGCTTCTCAAGGGCTGGGACTTGATAATTTTTGGTTTGTATCATGAGGGTCCTGTTATATTAGCACCAAAAAAACTGCTTAATAAATACTTGTTGAAAGGAAAGTAATTAAGCAAAGGGGAGGAAAATAAGACCAAAGGGAGGAGAGGTAGGAAGGGCAAATTAACAAATCAAAAAGAAATGACTTTGGTTGGAATGACAGGACTATGTAGACGAGAGTTTGGGGATGTGTCACTTAGCCAAGTGCCTGGCATGTAGTAAATTCATAATTAATTATTGTTGACTTGTGGATTTAGAGGTGAGGAAAGTAGAATGCTTGTTGAGAGCATATGAATATGGGAAGTAAACAGTCCCTTCTTGGATGAGCTAGAAGTCCTCCCCCCATTTTTTTTAACCAGACTGCTTCAAACAGCACTATTCATTGGTAGGTTACATTCTTCAAGTCCTCTTTCTGCAGCAGGCAGACTCAACCAACAAAGGGTATTTGGTTTTTGTTTATGGAAACAGATTCCCTTCACCTGGGTAACTAACCCCTTGGGGTGCTCCTGAATGGGAAAAACCATCTCTCACCTACTCATTCTTCTCTCTTTTCTGATTCTCTCACAGTCACACCTCCTCTGCTTTCTGATAACTGAGCCCTCCACAACTGCACAGTGATAAAGACTTCTCTGAGGATGTGATGGATGCTGGGGTGTCCTCCCCTGAAAAGCAGGATAAGCAAAATTTAATTGGTAGGTTCTTTTCTTTTCCTTGTTTTATAGTGGAACAGGTATAACAAACATTGCAGATGGATAATGTGATATATTAGAAAGAATTCAGGACCTGGAGGCCAAGGATGTAGGTTCAAATCCTGACTCTGCTATTTAATATCTGCTGCCTTGGGTCAATCACTTGATTTCTCAGAGTGTCCTCATCTGCCAATGGTGGGCTTGTACTCCATAGTTTTTAAATTTCCGTCCAAGTCTATGATCTCATTAGGGACTACTTTTCATGTAACACGATCTTGGCATGCATTTTACTAAATAGAAGAGCCTGGACTTTCTGTCATTTAGAGAGAAGAAGACTGGTTGGATCATTCTTTAAGTTTCCTGATTAGGGGAGAAAAGTTTGTGACTTGCTATATTTTTTCACTTGTATAAAAATACTTTTACATTTTTCTTGGAAGAGTTAGGTAGTGACTGGTTTCTGCGATCTTATAGACATCTGATTATCTTATGAGTGGATGGAAAAATGAATTATAAGTTAAGACTGATAAAAGGAGAGAAGGATAGAGAATATCCTCTCTCCCTCATGATTGATGTACACTGCATGTTGAGAATGAACCCAAGTTAAAAACTGGAAAGACCAATACACTTCACATAAATGGATTCTAAGAGAAAACTTGAAACCTCTGGGAAGCTTGTTTGGGTTAAGAAAGTAGTTCTCTTGAGGATAATTTATTCCACCTTTCTTCATTACTGAAAAATTGTTCTGACAGATTTCTACTCACACTTTCTTCTGTCCTTCCTTGATCATTGATATGTTTACTCTAAAGAAGGGACCAAAGGGAATTAGTGAATATCTCAGTCTGAGTTCCTCCTCAGCTATCTTCTTTAATCTTTAAAAGTCCCTTCCCCCAATTTAAGATTATAAAATTCAGAGCTAAAGAGATTTCAGAAATTATTTAATTCAATCCCCTATTCTTCTAGGTGAGGAAACTGAGGCTCAGGGAGCTCGTGACTCGAAGTAAGGTAGTTGGTATATGGTAGCAGATGCTCCCTTACTGGAATTGTTCAAGTGAAGTTTGAATGATGTCTTCTCAGGTTTGTCAGGGGGTTGTTTATTGATTGTTCCATAGAACAGATTAATACACAACATACAGGAGCAAATGTATTTGACAAACACAAAGGACCCAACTAACAGAATAAGGACTCACTATTTAGCAAAAACTGTTGGGAAAATTAAACAGCTATTTGGAAGAAATTAGATTTAGACCAACACCTCATACTTTATACCAAGATAAGCTTCAAATGGATGTGTTGACCTAGATATGAAAACAAGAAAGAAATCACCTGTAATATTTATGAATGGGGAAGAGCTCATGGTCAATTAAGTGATAGAGAAGTTCACAGAAGACTAAAGGGATTATTTTGATTACATCAAATTTTAAAAGTACATAAGCAAATACAATAAAGCCTAGATTAAAAGCAACACAATTAACTCAGGAAAAAAATCTTTGTGTCAAATTTCTCTCATAAAGGTTTTTATTTCCATATGAGGAACTGATTCAAATGTATAAGAATAAGAGCCATTCCCCAGTTGATCATGGTCTAAGAATATGAACAGAAAATGAAAACTATTAAAACTCATTTCTGCTATGAGTACCTCAGAAAGGTACTACATATGTGGTACAAAGCTACATGTATGACCAATAAGGGGCTAATATATGCTGTGCTTGGAATTCCTAGGAGAGGTTCTTGGTACAAAGGCAGGGGCAGGGTGTCTGGATGATCAGAGAATCTAGACTTTGTGGAGAAGGTCACAATAATACAGGTTTTTGTCCTCTCAGATTTTCTTCGTTTTGAGACTGCCAGGTGAGGATGTTAAAGATGTGTCTTGGTACCAAAACTTAGGGAAATCATGGTGAAATGAAAAAAAAAACTGAATTTATGATCAGAAGCCCTGAGTTTGAATCTCAGCCTTGTTACTTAACATTTGCATGACCTTGGATAAGTTGGGACTGTTTTTTGTTTGTTTTGTTTTTGATTAGCCAGTGCTTACCATAGTACCTTCATATAATAAATGCTTAATAAGTGTTTATTGAATTAAATAAGCCCTCTGGGCCTGAGTTTTCTCATTTGTAAACAAACAAACAGACAAGAGGAAGTTGGACCAAATGATTTCCAAATCATGACATTATAACTATAGACCCTTATTGCTGTTCTTTATCTTTCTACACCCTTTTCTCTTAGGACAAGTGTGAAATGTTATCACCTTAAATGGTTTCTTGGTGCCTTCACCACTGTTTGAGGCTGGAAAGGGAATAGATATCTATATATCAATTTAGGGGAAATCTTTAAAATGAATTTAGGCTTGAGGGAAATTTTCCACACACTAAAGTACTAAATATCTAAGCTCTGTGAGAGAAAGGGCCATCCGACATCTCTCTTGGGATCCTTAGAGCCTAATCTACTTCCTTCTTCCTGGTAGGCATTGCATAGATGTTCGTTGAATGTGTTTACTAAAGTATTTCCCCTCTTTCATGAACTCCTTCATCCCTAAGACAAAGCCTAAAATGGGGGAGAAGGGAGGGAAGAGGCTTACAGTTTAGACACCCAAGGCTCTGAAAACTGTTAACGCTCATTTCCATCATATGTTGGCTGAAGTCTGATTGGTGGACACATTCAGGATTCTTCTGCGGTGTTCACTCAAGGATCATGAAAGAGGCCCAAGATATGAATGGCATCACCAAGAACTATAATTTCTGGGCATGCTGCCCCTTGTATAGGGGCAGTCTTTCATCCAGCAGGTTCAGAATAGTTGTGGCTATTTGGCCAGCTACGAGAAGGTGGAAATCTGTTTACTTTATGATTGTTGATTATTTTTTCTTTCTTTCCTTCTTAATCTAAATTTGAGGCTGCTACTTTCTTTAGGGAACTTTGGATGATGACTACCTCAACCAAGAAAGAATATTTGGTATTTCTTCCCCCTCTCCCCCAAGTTAATCTCTATGTTATTTTGAGAGCGCTAAGTCTCAGTTATTTTTTGTTTTAGCTATAAATCAGTTTGGAAACTGAAAGAAGTGTATACTTTTCATCAACCCTTATTGTCTATAAGTTCCTCCAAAGTAGTGGGGTGGGAAAACTTAGCTGTTTTATTTTCAAAATAAATTGTACATGGGGGCAGTTAGGTGGTACATTAGATAGAGGACCGACCCTGGAGGTAGGAGGACTGGAGTTCAAATCTGGCCTCAACTACTTATTAGCTGTGTGACCCTGGGGAAGTCACTTAACCCTGATTGCCTCAAAAAAATAAGTTGCACATCAAAAAGTCCTTCCTGAAATTTCTCAGACTTCATGTAACTTCATGAGGATAGTTTTATTGCTTTAAGTTTTGCCCTGTTCTATCCTACCTACCGCTCCATGATTACTACCTGTGTGACCTTGGGCAAATTTGCTTTCCAGAGCCTCCATGTTCTCATCTTTATAATGAAGGATCTAAATGATTTTTGAGGTTCCTTCTTGCTCTCAGTCTGAGACACTACAATTCTACTCCCGGCAGATCTTTTAAATTCATTTAAAATAGAACAAAACTTATGAAGCATCCACTGTCTACAAGGCACCACTCTGGACTTCTTGGTGAATAAAAAATATGAATAAGACATAGTCCATGTTTTTCAAGAGCTCTCATACATATTTTCCCATTACTAGGTAACTCAGCTTCCATATCCCATAAGTCTAGAAAAGGTGTTGAACTGGTCATTTAGCAAGAATGGCAGACAACCAAGGGACAAAAGGTGTACATTGTTACCTCTGAGACATTGAAAGAAGAAAAGGAAGGCCCATGAGCACCGGGAGGGATTTCTGTGCTGAATTTATTGGAAAATAGAGACAGAAACTTCATGTAACCGGAGGTAAGGGGTGGGGGAGCGGATCTGAATTGGTTCAGGGAGAATCCACATCAGTTCAATGACATAATAATGAAAGTAGCAAGGCAGCCTGGGGGATATGTCCATATACTTAGAACCAGCAAAAAAGGATGAGCTTTTAAGCTATAAAAATAATAATGGTAAAAATAATAGTGCTCTAAAGTTTACAAAGCATATTCCATATATTATCTCATTAGAGCCTCACAACAATCCTGGGAGGTAGGTTCTTTTATTATCCCAATTTTATAGATGAGGAAACTGAGGCAGATAGTGATTAAGTGACTTGCTGGAGTTCACATAGGTAACAAATGTCTTAGTTAGGATTTGAACTCAGTTCTTCCAGACTCCAAGTCCAGTACTCTATATATTTTGCCACCTAGTTGCCACTTGATCTTACAACAACCTGTGAGGAAGGTACTGTTATTATCCCTATTTTACAGATGAAGAAACTAAGGCTATGTGATTTGTACAGGATCACCCAACTAGTGTCTGAGGCATCACTCAAATTTGGGTTTTCCTGACTCAAAGCCCAACATTCTATCCATTATGCCAAGCTGGAAAAATGTTCTCCTTTGCCAGGTATTAAGTGCTTGCCAAATGCTTCTGAGTCATGCGCTCCAAATAATAAAAACTTAAAATATTTGAATGCAATCCTTGGTGTGGGACCCTCTCCTCATTGATGATGATTAGTGCCCTACACCAGCACACTATATTTATATATCGATCAATCAATTGACAGACATTTATTAAGAAATAAAGAGGAAGTATATTCCAGGAATGGGAGACAGTCAGTGTCAAGGCATGGGTTTGAAGTTTCAAATGTGAAAAAGGCCAGTTTCCCTGGGCTACAGAGTACAGGAAGGGAAGAAATGAATAATCAAACTGGAAGGATAGGTTGGGGCCAAGTTGTGACGGGCTTTAAAAGCCAAACAGAGGCTGTTCTATTTTATCCTCAAGATAATAGGGAGCCACAAGGGTTTATTTAGTAGATGAGAGCCTGACTCAGATCTGCACTTGAGGAACATCACTGGCTTCTGACAGGCAATGACTGGGTGCTGATTATGACATAATAACCAACCCAGAAATGTCTGATGTCCTTTCTCT